AATATATAAATTACAATACTGTGCTGCAATAAATAAAATTCGTGCAAAATACAAAGACATGTTGTTGAAGACTGAGTAATAAGTAGGAAGTAACTTCGGAATAGATACATGTATAGAGATAAGATAAAATTGTAGAAGGCACAAATATGTTTTTGCTTTGTTCATACACAATATTAAATACATTTACCTTGAATTTAATCAATAGTCATAATATTGATAAATCGCATGTTTTACTTTTAAAATACAAACAATAAAACATTAAAATATTGAATGACTAAAATACTATTTCTATACTTACATGTTGGTGAATTATTGTTACTTCCATTTTCCGTTCTCGGCCTTTGTTGAACAATATTGCATTGAATGCTTGGCGATGTTGGTGTCTCAGTTTCTGTAGTTTCATTTGCAGCTGTGACTGTAGGTGAATTATTTGAACTACTTGTTTGATTAGTTGTACTATTATTTTGTCGCCTACTGTTGTGGGAATAAAATTTCATAATTAAGAAACAGGAATTGAATAATGACATCTAATACGTCCACGCCGGCGTCCATCTGTAGGCAATTACTCAGTAGCCGGTAAGTAATCATGTCAGATTCAATCTACTAGATAAGCGCACGATTTGTGACCCACCGGTGGTCACGCCGGCATGAACATGTTAATTTATTACTAACGTACTTTAATAGATTGCTTATAATTTGACTGGATAATCTAGGATCAGTAAATTGAGTAGTTCTGTTATTGTGATCCACAAAATAAACCCGACCACTTTGTGTTTGCCGCATTTCCCAACCACTAGGTAGTGGTCCAAGTTCACTTGCCAATTCATTTGCTGGTAAATCTCGAGGTATTCTAGGATCATGCCATGTAGATGAACCAGTTGGTACATGATAAAAATACACTTGACCTTGCTGCGTTTTTCTCATTTCTGAAAAATATTTAATTTCTTAGACTTTTTATTTAATTTCTTAGACTTTTCATTTAATTTATGCATTTTTCATATTTAGTCAATTTCTCGACAATGTAATACTCACCATAACCTCTAGGTAAATCCGGTGGTTGTGGAGGATCATACCTCATCTCATTATTAGCTGTAATGCTGTTTCTATTTCTATTACTTCGGTTAGGCCTTCGTGGTTGACTGTTATTGGTACCACGTTCTGGTCTAATGTTTCCACTTTGATTACCATTTTGTTCATCGGATGTTCTTATTGGTCGACGTTCCCTTGACGATGCTGGTGTCATATTTCTTGTATTGTGTTGATTTTGCATATTCCTATTTTGTTGTTGGGTTGGTGTATTTCTTGGTGTATTTGAAGTAGAACTGTCTCTACTAGGTGTTCTGCTAGGTGTTCCTTCTCCATTCCATTCAGGTGTACATCTTGTAGGACTTTCAGTGGGTAGATTAGGAGGACTTCCACTACCACTGGGAGAAGTAAATTCCGAAAAAGGAAGTGGCGGTGGCTCAGGTGTAGTTGGTATAATACCATTATTAGGTCTAATATAAAAAAACATAGCATATACATAAATTACAAACTAGAAATTGCATATTAAACTACACAAATATATACCTAGCATTTGGACGAATCCATTGTGTACTTCTAGTGTAATGATTGACAAAGTAAAGACGACCACTTTGTGTTCTTCTCTCCTCCCACCCTTCTGGCAAATCCGTTGGACAACTAAGATCTCCAAGAACATCTACCACTGCATTATGACCTACTGTATTGCTTACAGCACCATTGTGACCGTCCCATGATAACAGAGATACAACAATTTGCCCTTTAACAACATCAGTGTCATCTGAGTGCGCTTTGCAAAGATCTAATCGTTGATCTATAAGATACAAAAGGTTGATGATTATATGTTATCCGAGTGATTTTTGTTATTATATTTGTTTTAGAAAATAAAAATTACATCCTGTATCCTTAAGTCTTTGAATTGTGTTGGATAATATTCTTACACATCCTAGGAATCCACCACCTTTTTTTTTATGAATTTTTTTATGGTTCCAAACTGATATAGTAATGCCATCATTTTTTCCAATATATCTAAGCAAGATATTAACAGTAGTATTAATTGTAAATATATTATAATTAAACTACATACAAAGAATAATTACAGGTCATAATGTTGATTCCATTTGGGGTCTAATGTTGCCTTGCATGTATCTGTACTATGACACTGACCAGAACCATCCACTGTGATTTTGGCAAAAGGATCTGGTAGGCCTAAAACAAATCTTTTGTACTTGACTATCTTTTTCTAAATTTCATTGTTTTCTTACATACAAGATACTCACGAAACAGATCTTTCCTAGCAAGATTACGGGCACATAAAACTGTAAAATTAACATAATAAGATTTCAAATGATCCTGCGCTAACATATTCCTATAATATATATGATGGTTATAAATTGACAAACAGACATAATCAATCAAGATGAAATTTAAACATGAAATAATTTCTTTAACATAGTATAAGTATAATATTAGCACTACATGTACAAATCAATTATATATTGTTTTTAACCGTTGTCTTCATAAATTATTCTTCTCTGAAGGAACAAAACCAAAATCTATTTTCCAAATATTAAAACAAAAATGATTAAAAAATGCGAATTTGCTTTTGTGTAATAGTTCATAAAACTACATATTTTTACAATGTGTACCATTAAAAGTCTTCAAATGCGAAGAGATATTAAGAATGTTCATTTTAATGGAATCCCGAGTTCAAGCACCAGCGCTAGGCGTCTGACGTTTGTTAATTAGACCTATTCATACTCGATTTGATCTCGACTATATTCCTCATTGAATCAATCAACATTGAGTGATTTTAAACTGAAAAATGCTCGCGGCGATTGTGGCTTTGTGAGAAGCATTATAAATTAAGGGAGAGCAAATGCGGGTGTGACAAGTTCACTAAAATTAACGTTTTTGGTCTACGGTCTCCCGGAGTGCTCACGGTGGGGTCTTGACCTCCGATAGGGAGTTGCCATAACCAAAGGACGAAAACCCTAGTCAAACCTTTTTGCGTGCCTTTGCGTCGTGTTAATAGGCAATGGGCGAAGGCTGATATTTGGAAAGGCTGGCTTGACATTTCTGAGGAACGACTCCCCATAAGGTTTATGACGATGCCATATTAACGAATACACACAACAAATACAAAGCATGAAAAGGATCACAACGCGTGTTAGCTATGGGTCGACTTTCACACTTCTCTGACGATAGAATCATTGTGATTTCCTGATAAACTCACTCGTCAAACGAATCTTCATGGCCCCGTTCCTCCTACTACCGCCCGGATTCGACATTTTCCACGCACATTTAACGCTTCCTACCGCACATCGGCACTCTAATTAGTAAATAAAACTGCTGCCTCGAAGCGGCGGTGCAATCCGCACACACGCAACCATGCACGATCGACTGTTGCTGCTAATCGACCTTACCGACAGTATCGACTCAACTCTTCCTTCTGTCGACTTGAACAGTCTCGAGATATCGAAACTACTATGCTATACCTAGAACGGTTACAAGGTTTCAATTTTTATAAAATTATGTATGCTATTTCTAATTGCATAATATACCTGATATATATCGAATACATTTGGAAAAAGAATTATTTCAGTATACAACTGCAACAGTTTTATCCAAAAATTATTTATATGACTACATGATTATTTTTTTTAATTAAAATGTTTTAACTAGTAACTATATATTTAAAAAAGATTTTCAACACAGTTGTATTTCTTTATTCTTGTTTACAGAAATTATGTATATTTATAATCTTTCTCGCATTTACATATTATCAAACGACAAAAAGCTTCAATTTTAAATAGACAATAAATTTTATAAAACTTGGTATTTCGTTAAACAGTTTGAGTTTGATTCGAAAGAAAGTATAAATTATTTACAAAGTTAAAGAATTTATTTTAAATAATTGCACACAGGTACATATATTATATATTAACATTCGTAACGTTCTGTTACAATGTATATTGCAAATATAGCGATTAAAATAGAGAACTTTTGTATAAAATATATAAATTAACAAATAAATCAGAACGAAAGCACAAAATATCGTTGTAAAAAAGTAACGTTTCTGCGTATAAAAAATATAGAGTTAACTTTCTAAGTGTTATTCAGTAAAAAGAAGGACAATACGTATTACTTCCGCGCAGTAACTGACGCTCACCTCTCGTATTGTGTACAGAACGCGACTGTAAATTAATTTATGCGTAGCAATAATGATTACAACTTTCACTGGCCGTAAAATTAGAGAGGGACTGCAGCTTATTCTAGAAAAACGTATCGGTATCGTATTTTGGTATCGTCGATTAATGTTAACAATTCGAAATCATTATTATGCATTATATTTTTGAATGTCACACATTATGCCACTCACTAATCTAAATTTTTGATAAATGATTGCTTGGGATTACATATAGTTTATGAACAATAAGCACGAAAGTATTCGAAAGAATCTTATCTTTATAGAATAAATTGTAAAAAATAAATTATATAAACATTTATTATTCCAACGAATAATTTGATTGAAGATAAAACTCAAATTTTTATTGAACGCTACTCAAGTTTCGATACCTTTGTCTTATTGTAAGTTGTTTACTCCGTTTATAAAAGTAATAACTATCCCATAATATGTTTTACATGTGAGAATCTTAATGTCTTGCTATTCAGATATAAATCGAAAATGTAATATAAAAATTCACAGGGTGAAACATATTTTTGTGTAATCAATTAACAATGTTAGTATAGTATTTATCTGAGGATGAATGATTGCAGAAAGGTATGAATGGCCAGGTTTGATTAACATTTCCGATTTATTTTTCAACAAGATGCACTGCATTTTTAACTGTATGGCACTGTACAGATTTTAATGTGCGTATACTTTCATGACTTACTACTCACAACCTCTATTAATCATATAACACGTAGATACTTCTTATTGTATAAAAATATTATAATTTTAATACAAGAAGCATTCTTTCGAAAATAATCATATTTTGCAAATATTATTCATTTTAGTACATAAATAATTGAAAGGCTTTTCCCCCTGAAAGATTGTTTGGTCTGACGATTTTATTACAAAGTTCCTTTTATTTGTACCTCGTATTTGTTTCTTATTTTGTAGTTTGTATGTTCATAATTATTTCAGGTATGAATTGATAAACATTCACGAGAAGGAACATCATTTTGTTCGAGATGATACTTCCCGGGAAATGTTTAATAAAGTAATTCATTTGTTCTTTGGCAGTATTTCGTCAATGAAAATTTCGACAGTTCCTTATCACGGAATGTGATTGTACTGTACAAAATGGTTGGTAGCTGTGCGGTCCCTGATGTTACATTAAAGGTAATTTATTTTCAATTCTCCCCTCGAAACGTTAGAAACGCGTCCACGAGTAGTAACGCTCCTTCGATTATGCTGATAGATCCTTTGGCGAGTCCCGTGTCACGGAAAGAGTTCTTCCAAGTTATGTTTGAAAAGAAATCGATGTTCAAAGCACCAGCAACGATGAACAGAGCGCAACCAACGAGAGCGAAGAAAAGATCCTGCGGGGAAATTAAACAAAAAGCGTTGTTGTCAAGTTAAATAAACGAGTTTTCTGGAAATATTAATATGTTCACAAATATGTTAGAATTATAGAGTGTTCAAAAATTGTTGCAACAGTAGCTAAAAAAGAAGATTTTTGTATTTAACATGCTCAGAATATGTACATTTATAACAACGCTACTTTGAAGAGGTCTTCGTCGTATTTCTATATAAAGTAACAAATAATGTGATAATTAATTTCATTTTACCAGTAAATTGTACAACATTTTGTATACATACCACGCGACGATTAACTGGCGTTCCCATTACACTGCCAGCGAATAATCCCACGAGAATAATTAAATATCCGCCGAAGGTACCCATCGTGATCATGGCGGTGTGTATACTTCCAGCATTAAAAGAATGGTAATGCAATCCTATAAGGATGCACACGATTAGCTGAAATCACAGTAAAAAATACTATTGGAAGTATGTATACAATTAAGAGACACAGTAATGAATATTTTTATATTCACATATTTATATTAACATCTTATTTAACGGAAGCAATGATTTTATTATTATTGGTTTTAAATTAATCATATTCAGTATTTTTCGTGACAAGAAATTGATTGCATGATTTGAATACTGATAGTAAATTGGAACTGATCATTAATAGTAACATTAAGCGATTATTAAAGATGAAATATTTCAACGAAAGTTTTAAATCGTATGACGTTTTCTATTGAGCTAACTATGTAGGGTTACAGGTCGAATGTAGGCCGGTGGAAGAAGTACAACATCATTGCCGTAACTACAAATAATACATTAACATTCCACGATTGCGCTCCAGTTAGGAACTTTATTCTATTTCGAGGGGACACGTAGATACTTAGCTTCAAGCATCAGTCTTAACTCTCTCCATCGGCACATTAACAGAATGCTAGCCGCTGGCAGAAAATATTCTACTAATGTTCTCAATGTGACATTCATAACACGTTATCAGACACATTCATCCAGCCGCGATGCGCGTTGCATCGTTAATTACTTGCGTTAAGTGACGTACTTTGTATTTTATAATTTAAAGCGAATTTCTCGGTTTAAAGGTTTCCTTTTGCCAAGATTATTTAATTAATATTCGATGTGCGGAACCCGTAAATTTGACAGACACTGTATTTTATAAACATTATTTGCTAAAAGTTTACGTTGATTTTAATTGATGCAGTTATACGTATCCCGATAAATGGCCGTAAATATAGTGTTAAAAAAGTTTGTTCATCATTTTTCTAGAAGTATAAAATATAATTCAGTAAACTTGTTAAATATAATTATGAGACATTTAAATAATGATTAATACGCAGACAAAATTCAATGTCAAAATAATATTATATGCTTGAAGTAAATCAGATTTAACATTTCATAAAATTGAGAAGAATGAAAAAATAGCATCTGAAGCCATTAGCGAAGGTGAACACGTAACGAGTGAACAAAGCGTAATTTTGAGGATCATTGTGTATTGTAAGTACGTGCGACTGAAGAATCCTAACGGAAGCTTAAGTGATTGTCTTCCGGTCTGAGGTGTGACTGTAACAAGAAGATTATCTCTCACGTAGTCAACGCTAATCATTATGTCATTCTCTATCCGAGTACTTTCTGAACAGATTCGTACTCAATTTATTTACTGTAGTTTCATGGTTCTCATGCTTGACATTGATCAATCATGCTCCGTAGAAATGTGATATCGAGACACCTGAACTACGTAAAATTTCGAAGAAGTTGAATGAATTTCCAGACAAATATATTAGTGCAAATACGTTTGTATAAATGAAAAAGATTAGAATTTAAAAATAAAGTTTTCACAATAAAGGATGAATTTTCTCCAATAATATAAATTTGTAGAAGAATTCAGGGTATCTAAATTTCTTCGTTACGGTGCATAATTATTTAACAGCGTGTAATCCATATGTATATTTATTTTCAATGATATTTACCAGTTCCAAAAATTTAATGATGGCGAGTCTCGTGATGGTGGCCATTTTGGTTTATCTGTAACAAAATAGTTTAATACTACAATTAATACATTGTTTTGCACTTGTATAGCATATTTATATGATGAAATAATAAAATATGATAAAAACAGCTATTTATATCTTTTGTCATTGTGTGGACAAGAATAAAAGTATTATACATTGTCTGACAAATCTATGGGCACAAAGATTTATTTCTCACATGTGATATTCTTTCGTTTCGAAGGGGGCATGAAAAATACTCATAATAAAGCGTTTTCTGAAATTCTGAAGAGCAAAGTATTTCTGTAAAAATACTGTTTAATATTAAATTATTGTAATGCAATGTTTTAAACATTACATTCACATAAATATTACAGAAATAATTTTTCGTAATTTTTAATATTCTTCATAACACAGTTAAAAATAGAAAAATTAGGAGAAAGTTTTATGTGGTCTAACAAACTGTATATTATTTGTATGATTACGATTATATGTTTTCTGCTAATAAATAAATTCGAAAAATATTGAAATTTGATTAATTTAAAAATGAACAACAGAGAAGTCTAAATAAATACATTTTATATAAGCGTCTACCTATATGGATACTTTCGTTTACCGTTACAATCATACATTTCTTATCATGAATAGAGGATAACTACTCATAATGTAGGCTTGACTCATGCTATTAAATGTAAATCGACTTGAACATAAATGCTTAATACAACATCCAGTTAAAGGCTTGACGCAATCTTTATGCGTTTATTCAGCTCTTATAATAGACGTGTGCGACCACTGACGCGATCAACCTTACTAATATATCATCTTTAACATAATGATCTCATTGTCAGTGATAGCGAAGTTGTTCTATGAAAGGTAAAAGCGTTACATGGTTCGCATGATATCATTAGTGCAAGAACTTTGAAATCATTACTCGATTTAATACTAGATTTACGGATATTTACTGTATATTTATAGTAAATATAACTATAATTTAAAAAAATTGATATTCCTTCATTTAGATCTTGGAAATCAGACGTTTAAAACTAGGCAATTAGGATACATATTTGCGAAATTGCATGAATCAAAATCGACCCAAAGATTTACCAAATAATGTTTATAAAATTCAATATGAGTCAAACTGCTGTAACTTTCGAAATGACTATTAATACAGTAACATATGTATGCTAGACGTTCAAACAATTGCCACGGATGTTCGTGTAAATATAAATGCCAAGGGTCTAATAGGTATGCAGAAACTGGAGTGTAATCAAATTCTACTTAACCTAGCAAAACTTCTATTGTGCTTCTCTATAAATAGAAATTTACTTAAATTTTATGGATCATTTTATTGTAACGTGTTTTAAACAGCTGTGCACGTTGTAAATGAGTGGAGTTTACAATTCACATCAAATAGTGACGTCAACTGACTGTTTTACACTTGAACTTGTAGATACAAAAAGATATTGAATATCGGACGCATTGAAGAAGACAATGTGTTTTATATGACAATGAACGTGTCATATTTGATTTTTATAAGTTTTATAACTATATCTTTGAACAAATGAAAAAGTTTTTAGTAGTATACACGTGAGTTACAACAGTCAACAATAACAGAGACCAGCCATCGGTGATTCTATATTTAGATGTTCACACGATGACATAAGAATTATGATGTCGTCGATAAACGTAGCCCAATATTTGCGTTCAAGAATATTTTTCCATATACTCTTATCTTTATACTTAAAAGAATTTATCGATGAACTAAACATCAAAAGTGTATAATTAAAAAAGTATTTGATTCATTTAAAGAAATTGTAAAATCGTTTAGCGTAATCTTAACTGAGGTTTCCAATTAAACGAATTCCGATTAAATATTCGCTTTCATTGAAATTTCACATAAATTAATTGTTAAATTCAGCCTATCTTACTTTATTTTATTTATTAATGGCTTTACTATATTGCCAATTTTTGTTAAAAAAGTCTAGAAGAATTGAGGTTATCGTAATATCTGAATTTGCGAAAATTCTCATTTTCCCAGAAATACCTCGCATAGTTAGGTCAGTGGAGCAAGCCATCATTTACGGTGACCATGCAATACCAAAGATGGGCGGAATAGCTGGTAGAGCCACCAACACGTGCTTCGAATATTTATGTCATCGTTAAGTCTACAATATTGCGCAAGAAAAGAAATTTTCGTATATCTTATATAATTCGTTGTGACACTATAATCGATATTATGAACACTGTATTTCGTTCAATTGAAAATAATAGAAGTCTATAAATTTCTGCAGCCGTTTGTCGTAGTACAAAGAAATTACTTCTAAATAATTAATTTTAGGGACATTAAACAAATGGAACGTATTACATGAAAATGCCACCGATTTCATATAAAATATGAAAACAGTTTTGAGAAGAGAGTTTACGTTGACAGGCACGAAATTTCGTCGAAGGCTCATTTTACAGAGCTCAGTAATGCTGTTCTCAATAACACCATCGTAATCTACAGAAATAGAGAATGAAACGATGCAAGGCCGGTAGGCTCAGTGGCTGCATTCGGTGCCGTAGCTTTTGTTTATAGAAATTTCGCGCAAATGGGAAAGCACACAAAGGAGAAAATGAGGAATTATCATTCGCGGCGTGTCACGCGCGAAATTCAGAGTTCAAAAGAAAACCAGGTACACTTTCACACGAGAAATCATTGACCATGCCAGCTGAAAGCCTTGACTCGTATTGCGATCAGTTTTTGCAGTTTCTCTTAACGTAACTTCTTTATTAGGTATCGCATCGTATGTACTCGAAGAATAACAGGTCTCTTTAAGTAGTAGTTACCAGCAATTTATGCGACAGCTGCATGTTTATTGTTTAAAAAAAAAAAGAGTATGAATTGTGATTGAGTACATAAATTTGCATAGTTTCATTTCGTTCCTCCTTTTTCGTGTTTTGTCTACTGAAAGTAGTTGAGAATTAAATATTATTTACTACGTATTTTGCATTATTAGGGAACGTAATTATAATTGTTAACCTGTTAAATGTGGAATTTAGTTTGAAAAATCTCTCGTTTTGCACGCAATAAAATGAAAAAATGAAGTGAGTACTCGTCAAATGCAGGACGGATGCACCTAGGATATATTTTAATAAAAAGCTAAAGCAAAACAAAGAAGAATTACATGTTTATTGGAAAACATTAAGAATTCATCGTTGAACAAATTAGTATTAAGATGCGTGTATACTCGTCAAACGTGGTTAACTGTTTAATAACTTTGTATTAAATATGTTTAAGATTCGATAATTTTAAAACGAATATTCTATATATAAATGGAAATTATTCCCATTAAGAAAACAAATGTGCAGCGGTTGTTTTCATGTCATTTGTAAGGAACTCGTATGTTATCGCATGACATTCATGTGTGAAATTGTCACTAATCTGCTTAAAATACATTTGATTCATACAGCGTCCGATAAAGTTTAATCTTGCATGTGACTCGTCTAATAGACTTCTACCTAATTCAATTAATAGATTTTATTATTAAATTTCTGATATTTTCTTGTATCTCACATATGCCCGATTTCAATAGTTATATATTTTGTAGCAGAAATATTTTATATTTCTTACTTATAATACTCCAGATATATTGACATGTTTTATTTTGTTTTTATCACCCATGTTTGCATTTCTTGCGTGTTTTATTGGAAACTGCTTATTCAATAAAGATAACTCCCCCTGAGTTTCATTACACAATTACAAAAATAATTATGCTCAAGTGGAATATTTTTATATATAAACATCACTACATTTGCAATACAATATATAATTTAAATGACTTCCAAAAACCATAAAAACATTATTTTTCCAAAAATTATGCAAAAAGCAGCAAAATTAGGTCCTTCATTCGAGTATCCAAAGCACTTTTCAAAGTTAATTATCTTTACATAAAATGTTAATAAACATTATAAAATTAAACAAACAATGATGAGTCAAAAAGAGTATAGTATATTTCCCTTTATTATTTGAACACCAAACTGTTTGAATAAAATTCGAAGAATTTGTATTCTATGAAATCAGGAGTACACGTAAACGTGAGTAATAGATAAAGTATTCGTTACAATTGTATTATTTCTTAACTTTATTCAGCAAGTGTGTATCCGAAAAATAATAACAAACCACAAGACCCATGCTGATGAGGTATTTCGATACCTCCGATTCTATAAATATTTTATTTTTTTTCGCAGAAAGGGTATACCTTTTTATTTATAAATTTGGAGATAGGTTCGTTATCAAATAGGCGTGTCAGTTGTTAATTTCAATGACACCGGATATATCATTTCAGCACAATATTTTTTTTATGAGTGGCCAATATGTTAAGAGTGTATCAAATTATATGAGAAAAAAAAGTAGATAATAAGTGACATATGAAGGAATTTTGTCACATAATAAATTAACTATTCCACGAATACACATTGAATTATATACAGTGGATTCTACATATTATTTTACTTTTAATCGTCATGTTCTATACAGCAATAGCTCATTTTCTTTACGTTGTATTTCTCTGTATTTGATTTATATTATTTATTCTTTCCGCGATAACACGCAGCAAAATTCGCTCGTGTGTGCTAAGCATGAAAAATAAAGTCAATGCGTGAGGAATACGAATGCCGTAAAAAGCTGTACTGACGTGGCAATAAAAGAAGTCGATAATGACGAAAAAATAATTCACAGAATTTCGTCTATCTTTGTTAAATACTAGTACATCACGAACTTACACACTTGCTGATTAAGATTGTAAGGTCATTTTATTTTTACCTCGCTTAGTATCATAGTTAGAAGTATTGTTTCCTTCTTTTGCAAAACTACATAAAAATACACAAAAAAAGCGAATGCGGGGTGTTTTTAATGCATCCGGGAAGCTGACAATTACTGTTATCACTATCAGGGTAAATAAAGAGGAATATCAGAGAATTGAACAAAATATTGTTAATATAAAGCAATGGAAGGCTTAAAGATCATTGTATCCAAAATCTAATTTGGATCATTAGATAATATAAGTATGATCGGCATATTCTTCAGATATAAATCTCGTCAAAAGTACAGGAGCGATACTTGTTAGACAAATATATTGAAATGAACGATATTCTACAGACGAAAAATTAAAAGTATACAGCAGTTGCTCCCGTGTGGGAAAGAAATCGATCAAGACTTGATAGAAAAGTTTGTAAAAGCTTTTATGTTTCACTAGACTTGCAAGAATTACTTTACAATTAAATATTTTATAACAAAGAAAAGTTATATATCTATTGTAGATACATGTTCACTATGAGACTTAAATTGTTATTAACGAAATATTTTCTTTTGACTGATACTTACTAAAAACTATTCACATAAAATTCAGTTTAAAGTCTTCGTCACGTGTCTGACTCAACGATGTATGTCAACGGATCTATAATGTGTTCATTTTTATTCTTTAGCATCTAACAGCGAAAATTAATCTAATTTTTGCCTAACCCAGATTTTTATCAACGATTTGTTAATTCAAAACTTTGTAAAGTGTTATATTGAATCCTCTTGGAGGCCAACGCGTGAGTGGCAAATTGTAATTGGATCTGTTTATCCAATTCAACGTACTCAAAGATTTCCAAGATAATTGGTAATAAAACTTCAGTACAACCTCTAAGACCTAGTTCAAGTTATGGTTCAACATCTTCAACAGTTCTGTCATGATAATTCATTGTTTTTGTCACCTTCACTTGTTCACAATTTAACGCGTTTGTTTTATATATTACACACATTGTTCACAAAAGTTTCACTTTGTTAGAGGGGTCAGTCACAAACGTTCGTTTTCAAAGCAAAATTACTTTTTCGATAAATACAGAGAGCGTCGTTTTTCCAGCGATGAAGTATAATTTTTTCACAATTCTTCGTGTGAAATGTCGAGTGTGCTGCAATGAAATTCAGGTTGAACAATTTGATTATTGAAAATAAACTTACGTGTCGGGCTCGGTAGTTTTGTTGGGTTGCGCGTAGACGTTCACAAGACGAAGGTTCAGCGACGACTAATGCTGAAGACTGATCGCGTATCGTAAAGGAGAGACGCCCGGCTCCGATTTTTATTACCGAGAGAAACATGGCTACGCGTCCTTTTAGGATGATCTCACATGTGCAGGTTTGGGGAAATATTTTGTAATGGAAGAGAAAATAGAATTCCGATTTCGGAAAGTGTGAGGGGTGTACTTCAGAGAAAGAAAGATAAAGAAAGACAATAATAACATGGAATATAAATAAAACACAAAAAAATAGGCAGAAATAGAATAAACATTTTAAGCTATGGGAATCTCTAAACAAATGTGAATTCCTTAAGAGATTATTAATATATCTATATTTTCGATAATTGCGACTTACAATAGATCAATTTTTTTTAATATTTCCATTTTGTTCATTTATAATAATATTCAGAGAGATTCAGAATATGGCAACCGTCATCAAAGTTTTAATTATAGTTTTAGTTTTTATCATAATTTTCATTTAGTCTTTTGATCACTTCATTGATTGAAATAATCGAATTTCCTTACTGAAAGGAGATCACCTAAATAAAAGTAGCTTTAAATAGAACGAAATAGGTGCATATAGCTTCTTGTAACGTTTTTCTCAAAGGAAATTTACATGTTTAATAAAAAATCAATTTGCATTCAGTCGATTACTTCACAGACGACATGACCGGTAAAAATAAAATTGTGAAGTCACTGAAAGTGACATCTTGTTACAATAATAGCAATGTAAATGGAAACAAAATATCGTGAACTATTGTGATGTTTATTTTTCTCTCGCATGTGTGGACACGCCTTTACACACCTACGTTACGTGCTGGCCCGCACATGCATGCGTGTAACCTCCATTTTACTACATTTGAGTCATCTCCCTCATACAGTGATTCTCAAACGTAAGATCTTTTAAATGTCGCTGTTATAACATCTTTTGATACTAAAATGGTATTAAATAATTTTAGTATTAATTAATATTCTAAATGGCGTGTGTTACTTATATTTATACGAAATATATGTTCTTTACAAAGTAAGATGATTAATAAAAAAAAATTAATTTTTTCAGAAATTTCTACAACAATATGTATTTTATTAATCCATTTTCTATAAATTTTAATCTTTAAAATGATACCTATACCTATGTCTTTCATTTCTTATCGCATAAATTTCTTTGCAATTGCTTGTTGTATGCCCGTAAAAATTATTTTATTTTTTATAGAACAATTATGGTGGACAAATACTTTATATTTATTTCCTGCTGTTTTGTAAAGTAATTCAGCTGAGGAACACTGTGACGGGATCAGGTTCATTCAAGTTAATGGCCAGGCGCAAGTTTTCATGAAAGGAAGTAAACTTTCCGCAACGATTATTTGCATTACGTATTGTGACATTGTTACATACGATTAGTAGCAACTTTGATTATTGACTTAAGTTTTTTGTATTCCACAATGTATAAAGTAATGCGTGATGTTTTCAGACGAGCATCTGTCATTGAAATTCTACTATCGATCTGTGATTCACTGCTAATTCCCTTGCGACATATATACAAAAAAAATGTTACTGATTCATTTGCGTGACACATGCGCATCATTTACTTTACAAAATGTGAGATTACAAGATAGGAGTAATAGATTAAAAAGATTACAATTGTACGTAGCATGGGAAAGATAGTTTTATTTTAAACTGACGTTCTTTTTTACGTCAGTTTCATATATGAGATAATATAAATTACAGTATAAATCTTATGACAGTAAATTTAATTAGTTTATTATATATACAAAAACATTTCATTATTAAATTTTGTCAAAATTTCATTGAAGAAAACTTTCTTAGAGTACCTACGAAATCCGTTTTCATATTAAGCAGTTTAAATCGCGACTAATTCTGTCAAATCACAGTTTTAGCGAAGCCTATTACACGTGAACGTTGCATTACGTCGCTCCAACGCCCTCACAAGTGACATCATTTTGCTAATTGTACCATGACGCATATGTACCATAAGCTTTGATGGAATTTATCGCAGTGAAATGTGAGAATACAACCATAACGTAATAAAGTCACATTTCTTAATAGATATTGCCCAAGTATAACGAAGCCGACATATTAATCAATGCAACCCGATTGATATTAATTTTTGTAGATAATATACAGAGTGGCATAGGTAAAGAACACGTAAATATTTCAAATATTTAGACATATTTCACTATTTATTAATTTTTCATTTATAATTTTTTTCATGATCTTAGATTCCTGGTATTCTTACTGATACTTGATTCATAATATCGTAATTGATCTTTCATTCATGATGTTTTATTGGATTCTTGATTCACATGACATGAACAACCTGAAATTCATGTACTGGTTTCTTCATCAATTCTTGATACTTTATATAATTATAATAATCGATGAAACAGCAATATAAGATAACAGGTTCTTCATCTACGCTCTAAAAGAAAATTGACTTTTGTATTAATGTAATTTCCTGTTTGTATAATTATGAAACAGTTAATGTATTACTCTATAATTATTATTACATAAATATAGATAAATAACAATGAGGATTATTAATTTTTTCAAGTCTGTATGTTCTAGTTATGATTAAGAAGTTTTCTTTATAGTTTCAGTGTCGCATTTGTTGTTATCGACAAGATACAATTATCAAGTATTGTTAATTAAAATTGAAAATACATTTCGAATTCTACAGTGTTATTCTGAGTTTTGTAAACTGTTCTATTTTACATCTTATTTAGACTAATTTGAGCAGTTTGAGAATTATTATCGACAGTCGGACAATTATCAAGAGAGTCATGAGAAAATTATCCAACAGATGATAAAAGTATATTTATTGCATGACTCGAAATTTTAGTTGAAAACTGAATATATAAAATGTATATTTTTTATATTAACTACATGACTCTAAAAACCTTGATGAAAATATTCAAAATGTCATATATTATAAATATTAATATTAATTTCATTTATAATATATGTTCTAAACAAATAGTTGAATTCTTTGATTTCTCAGTAATTAGTAATTTATATTATTAAGTTGATGATGAATAATATTGGCAGTTGCTCACTTACAATGGTAACTGAGTGTGACATCGACGTTAAGGAAGGAAAGTTTTCTAAATCAGGTATTGGATCTAATTTACCAGGCACCTCTTTCGGTTTACTTTCACGCCTGCTGACCTTTGCTCGAGACTCAAAGACTTCACTTGTATCAGTGTTTGCACTAGAGTCGGTAACTGGCAAATTGTTAGACACATCACTAATATTTTGTTCTTTCATCTATAACGGGACTATGTTGAAGGATCGTGTGCTTTGAAGTTGTGTGCAGATATTAAATTGGCTTATATGTATAATTTACAATGACGGAAAAATAGATTGAAAGTGCAGACATGGAAATCAATTTATTATGTATCTCAAAAATTTCTTTTTGTTTCTACAATTACAAGTCGTAATTTAAATACTTGTATACTTTTCAAGAATACCGTGGAGTGTACAGTAGAGTATCAAATTATTTTCAATAGTAAGTTTTAATGTTCTAATCATTTTGCAATATTCACGGTGATGAATAATTAGAAATAGGGCAATAGACAAAAAATAAATGTACACACAATTAAATAAATTTAAATAGACTATTATAGAAGTGTTCTAGTTAAATATATTATATTTAAATATAAAGAACACTGTCGGAACTATCATAGAACTCGAATAATTAATTTTATTAAGTAATAGTTGTTTATATATTGACTGTAATCGTGTTTTCACATACCCAACGCCATAAGTCGTACGAGATCCAACCTTGTATGAGATATACAGTCATGCAGAAGAGTGATAGCAAACACATGATGAAATTGTGGATAAAGACCGGATGTGTTAGCAATTCGTCATCACTGATCTCTGTTAAATCAAGATATATATCGGCATGCTTCATTTCCATTATTCCGACCAAAAACATCAAAGTGGCTGCAGTGAAGCATCCGATGAGAACCTAAATCAATTTATTATAAACACGCAAGTTATTAACTAATCAAATTAATACAAATACAGAGTTCTTCATTTAGCGCAAAAATAATCTTACATTATTAGGAAAAATCGATTTTAGAAAATCGTGATTAGCGCATGTAGAATCGATAGCTAATAAATAGGTTTTATTCAAATGTTAATATTTACTAATTAATAGTTCATAATGGCAACAGTTTACTTTATAATTACAGTTTATAATTAAATTACATAAATAACTGAAATCGGAAGTGAGTACTGACAATTCTAGGTCTGCGCATCAGAAGGTCCGTGGAAAGCCAAAGAATTGCGAATACGACGCTTATGAGCATGCATAATGGATAAACGTAGAAAAGTGGATTTTTTTCTTCAGGCAGTTGAGGAACCGATTCGTTATTTTTTCGACGATTTCTATTCACATGATGATGGACGTGATGAAAAATTTCAATGGCGAGGGTAATCGTCTACGTAATGTTCCTAAAATTATGAAAAGATTTGAACCAGAAATGGAAATACATAATATAAAGTTTATACATTAAGAATTGTCAGAACAATAAAATAATACAAGAAATATAATTTACCTATTTCCATTATTAAATTGTTTATATTTTCAACCTTACTAATTCTAATAAATAACATGCTTTATACAATAAAATACTTCACCACTATTACACCAGCGAAAGAAATAACCATAGATAATGATATTCACACGAAATTCTAGAAACATAGAAAACGAAGGTCAGGACGTAAAAATATTGTTCACTGGTTCAGGTTTAAGGAAACATCGAGTCAGATTTATGACGTGTCGAGAACTCGAATTTCGCCTGGTTTGTTTGCCTTTCTGGTGACCGCCGCAAGTAAACAATGCGACGAACAATATTAGATTATTTTTCAAGAAGATGGCGTAGGTAGGAACCGTTAGAAAGTTACACCGGTGAAGCATAATTAATGATACTTCTACAGCTTCATCGCTCTATCGTGAACTTTACGCATAATTGGTCCGAACCGTGTGCCAACTGATCTAATACAAAAATCAATCGATTAGTTGTGCTTATTTTATCATTTTCATATTATTTCCATTTAACAATGCTTTTGTTATCTCGCGAAAGATCGACACACTTATCCTATAATCGAAATGTTTACACGCCATTAGACTCGGAAAAAAAATTCCACTTATTGGATCGAGTTTTTTTAAAGGCTGTCCAGTCTGGAAGTCTGTCGCCGAGATCGAAAAACCGGAACACGGAGTAACCAAACACCGAAACACGTTCTTCCCTCGTCCATGTTTACAGTCGTGCAATTGCACAGAGGCAACAGAAGAAATCGAGCGCCGCCCGGTGCGCACGTTCGCGCGATACGCACGCGCGTACGGATTTCGCGTCCGATTGCGTAATAACGAGGACGAAATCTTTTGCGAATCTTAGATCGCTGTTGAATCATCCCGCGTTTTTGCGAAGTAGCGCCGCGAAATTGGGCCAAGAAACTGCAACCGCGAGCGATCTACGATCGCATCCCCGCGACTCGCTCGCTTCCTGTTCGCGGCTAGCGAAATTGAATCGAGGACGACATTAATCAGAGGAGAGAAGGAAGGGACTGAGTCAACACAAAATATTTGTGTTATTGGGAAAAATGCGATTACGTTTCGTAAATATTTTCGCATTCTTCACTCGTGTCGTTTCATCCGAGATTCCTTTTTTCCTCTCTTTCTTCGAGTCGGATTTCATTCGACAGCTGAAAATATGGGTTACGAGGCTCCTGCTTTCAATCGAATATACAACTATGTAATGGGTTATGAGAAATATCATACACATGAAAATAATTTTTTGTTATGTAATAGATATAGATGTTTGCTTTTTATACATCGTTTTTCCATTGGTTGATTACACCTGTGCAATTGAATGATCTTGTACTGTATCATTCTTTTTTAGAATCAAATTAAATTCAATTTAAAAAAAAAGAAATTTCGGAAAGATAGATTATATTATAATCTATCGAAGGAAATTAGAAATTTTGAGATTTCTACTGTGGAGGCGTAAATAAGGATCCTTTCTATCGCGTTCAGTTGGGGTGTGTTTTAAATAAATACTTTTTTAACTGTTGAATAATTGGGTGTAATATTTTGCGAATAAAAATGAGAATGAAAATATTATAGAACACCCAGTGTTACGACAGTTTATCAAATTTCCATATTATTGTGTGGTTCCTTACGAATTGAGAAAGGTGCAAGCTGGCGTGGACGACGTGAGAGAGGTTCGGATTTCTTTGGAATTTCTCCCTGCCTTTGTGATAAATACTAGCAACTTTTGCCTTCTCGGAAAGTTTTCCCAAGTCGTAATCGTCGTATTCGTTCCCAGATTGTGTTCTCTCCGCCTGATTTTCCATTTAAGTTCCTTGCCTCCTTCTATTTCAGAATTTAATATATTAACGAACTTGCTATAAATGCCTTCCCGTTTGAAACGGTGCTTAGTGAAGTTGCACCAACGAATTTGTTGATGTAGACAAATGAGCGCAAGAAGGAATTATGTTTGACTATACCCCTAATCTTGGAACGTCAGAAATGTCATTTTCCGTTTCTACGAAGAAAAACGTGCCGTTTCACAAGTCTGTTTCGTATCAGGGCAGCAGGTAGATATTTCCGAGCTTCCTAAACGAAATTTCTACGATGTTTATCTGTTCCTTTTTCACCACATTCCTACCCTCGAGAACTAATGTATGTGTAGGTCCTTTTCGTTAATATCCCTTTGACATCCTATATTCTATATATTGTTGTACATCCTATGCAACAAAGTTTCATTGACTTACTTCATTTTTGTATATTATATCTTTATAAGATTGGAGTTAAATAAAACGTAAAAGGGATATAAATAATAGAAAAAATGTTTTAACATAAAATCAATCATATAAATTAAAGTTAATATAAAATAGAAATTAAAAGAACAAGAAGAACTTTGTTTTTTATATCAATTTTTAATTTAGCAATATGGATCTAGTAGATTTTCGATAGAGGATATGGTGGTCACATGGGAAATTAGTACAATGTTTTTTGCAATCTTTTGTCAAGAATATCTTACGATACATCTACAATAAAATAAAATGCCCTACAATACAAATTACCGAGAATCAAACGTCGCCGCCATCTATACTTCTATCAGACACGTTTCGTAACATTCGATGATTTACGGTTCCAATACTTGTTCCGTTTCTCATAATTACTTGTTCATTATGCCTAAATTGGATCGCTGTCGCTGTTCTAGGAATTCTCAGAAGCTTGAATCACGTTTTAGAAATTTCCCACTGGTGTCTGTGGCGAACCACGACATTTCGAAAGTGTCGAGACGATTAACGGACGAACGAGAGCGACAACGAAACGCAAAGCGTGACGATAGCCCTTTATGGGCCTTCCTCGAAGCAGAAATACTTTCCTTAATGAAAGTGAACGCCTTATGTCGCTTCGTAATAGGCCATCCACCCATTTCGGTGCGTATTTTGCGCAATATCCGACACAGAAACGTGCACGACGTTGATTTTCCTTCCTCCGATATGTCCGAACACTTTCTTCGCTTGAGAACGAATTCCTTACAGCAGTTAAAGAAAGGTTTTATCACATATAGTGTGTAAAAATATAATCATATTTATTTTTGTCTTAATGTATTTCGTACATACTGGCATAATGATGCATAATTATAAAAATATTATAAACAGTATTCATGATTTATCTGCAATTTTGTATAGGCACACAGTATAATTCAAAGCAGCGCGATGGTCTTCCATCAGTTTCCAAGATAACACGTGCGTTTATTGTAATTGCAGCTCATCAATGGCGCCGTGCATCCTTTCTTTGTCATTGGAATGACCTTGACGATCCTGTCTCATGCAGAAAAATTCAGTTTGGTTTTCCTCTTCATAGTAGCAATAAATACATCACATTACACAAAATGTGTAAAAAGTTGTAATGACAATGAAAGAAGCATAAAACGATATCAGTCATTTAAACTAATCTTTTACAATAATATGACAAAGTGTTATTTTGTTCTTGAAGGTTTCCTTCATAATACGCTATTTTATCGCTTAGAGCAACTTCTCCTCAATTTTTAGTTTTCAAATGCATATTCAGTATTGACATATGGGAAGATGAAATTTAGAAGAAACATCTGTTTTAAAAAAGTGTATGTCATTAACGTCTATTTTCTTTCCATGTAATTCTCTTTAGGAAAGGTAGATCGAGCAAATTTCGAAATATTCTTTCCAAGGGAACGTATTTTGACGTGGGTCGGGAAAAAGAAAAGACTCACGCGAAAAGAAGGACAAAGAAAAAGACAGGTTTCCTGTGCTGAATTCTTTGCAAAGAGAAAAGTTTACACTTAAGGAGACAACGTTTCGGGGAATTTTAGAGGTCCTTAGACTAAGGACATCTCAAAGGAATGAACCATGGGAAACAAAGACGAATATTCTCGTTCTTAGAATTAAATTGAGACGAATATTAAAACCGACATATTCAAGTTATAAAACTTTATGCTTTTTATTGATAATATTTAAAATATGAATAAAAAAGTCTCTAGAGTCCTTTTATTGTCCGACAGTTTTAATCATAAGGAGGGTCAAGGTTTTATTACGCAGAAATACTTTTGCACTTTTAAGATTATTATAACTGTGTGTATATTGTTCAAGATAACTATTTATACAAAAATGCTGTACAAATATTAATAAAATATTTTATTTACTTTTGTAAGAAATAGAAGGATTCTTTAATTCTATATAATTTCAATCCATCTCTAAAAAGAATATTTCTGCGTTCTAAAATTATTGGTAGAATATTTTATGTGTAGGATTGAAAAACGATGCAACCTCAAGAATATACATCTGAACTTTTCTTATGTTAACATGAAAATATCTCACATTCTTTCCGCATCTGTGGTTTGCACCCTTCCAGATAGAAGGATCAGTAAAGTTTACGTAATAAGTTATCTCACCCCTATGTCTGCGCAAAGGAATAAAAGGGGGTTGTTTGTATTTCCCATTGAGGAAAATGTCTGTCAACAAGAAAACGTGCTTGGCACTAAGAACGAATAATTTTATGGTGCCCCGAGATGTGTGGCCCATAAAAAATTGTCGTGGCGAATAAAGATTAACATTTTACGGGAATCTATATTAAACAAACATCGATGCAATTCATATAAATAAGTATGTACCTACATTTAATTTTATGAAGTAGTAAACTTTTATTCACATTAGAATACTAAGGAGCATAAAACAGGCAATGAATTTTTATTCAGTAAATAATAAAGCATTATACGGCATTAAATGAATAGAACAGTATATAACAGTTGCTATTTGATTTGACATAGCAAAATGATAAAATTCAATATTCAATATCAAATTTGATGTAACGTAATTACACCTAAAATGTTGAAATAAAATAGTTCTAACCCTTGATTCGATTCAAGAAATTCAATTCAATTAATATTTCATTAGAATATTATGAATATGTTTAGCGAAAAAACTTTCGAATTCAAAAGGTTAAACTCTCTACCTTTCTCAATGACGATTTTTAATAGTTTTTAAAATCGTCTCGCATGACTATTGGCTCCCATGATTAAAAAAAAAGGTAAAGCCATCACATCCTCTTTGGATCAACTTCATGTTCCTAGCGGCGATGACCCAGTTACGACATTTGTTGCTCCAGAATGAACGCATTATTAGCGTGTACTGAGAGCGGCTGCATCGAACACTGGTCTCTTTGTTGACGAAAAAGTTTAATATTCACGCGACTCGTGGTTGTTCCTCCGTGACGAAACGCCTCGCGTCGTCTAAATGTTTCCGCACCTCGTCAACGCCGCTTTATCACTTTGGCTCGTGCTTCAAAGCGGGAATAACGCAACCCATTAAATGTTGATTGAGCGAGAACCATTATTTCAATGGCCGTGCGTCTCAACGATCGAGATCGAGGCTGATCAGTTAACCCTTTCGTTACCACACGACGAAAAAACGGTTGTTCAGTGCTATAATACGTAGATACACGTTTTTTGTAAGCAATTTAAAAATAACGAAAATTGGAGCACGAACGAGCACATCGGTGACTTATTCGACCTTCATCGTTTATTAATTGAATCATAATTTTGCGACTTATCCATTGTTAAAGTAAAATTCTTCATCGCGCAGGAAGCATACCTTTTTCATCCCTCTAATGTTTAAAGCGGCTTTCACAGCTAGATGTATCAGAATTAATCAATTGCAATCGTCGCACTCGTTATCTGTGAGTGTGCGTGAGTAATCAATCTTTTATTTCGAATTATCGGGACCAATGTGTGAATCATGGGAGTATGGACGTGTTCATTCTTCAGATGAAGAATTCTTTATTTGAAAATGTCGAAGAAGAACGTTTCGAAATGTGTGAGTAAAGGTAGTCTTTTATTTTCCGTATTTTGGAATATTTGCTTTTGCTTCTAATTCGGTATTCTGTTTTATTAAATATTTTCTTATCCCTTTTTCATCGATTCTATGTCTTTATATAGATCGATTAGTAATCTTAGCGGAATTCCATCTTTACAGCAACCTAGTGGAAGGTATTTCATCACACGTATCTATGCAACGCGTGTAACACGTTAGTGCACAGAGAATTGCATTCAGTTATGCAGCACGTCAACTCGAACATTTGATGCGCTTCATCAATTTCGATGAAGATTACGCGTTAAAGGTTACTTTCAAGGAACGGGATAAATTATAAAGTGATAATGACAACGAAGCGGAGCATTTCCTATTCCAATACATAGTTTAAAGACAAAAGCACGCACTTACTTATAATTAAATGTATTTAACTTAAATACAGATTGAAATTGCACATTTCAATATCTTTAAGCTAAAGGAATTTCTGTTTACGCTTGACAAAGTAAATAAACAATTTTGTGTTGTCACTTGTTATTCACATTGTGCAAGCATGCAAATACATTTCCTAAATTGCACAAATGTTAAGTGAAAAATAAATGCTGCGCTGTAAAATGTTTAGGGCCAGTGGTTGATAACACTTCAACAGGGAAGAAAAGGATAAAAAGTGAAATTCGAATTTTTTACAATATGATTCATATTTTTCACAAAAGTCTACTTTATCCTGGTCAATCGTGACTGAACACGGTTACTAACTGCATTCTGTGTGTAGTTCCAGTTAAATTTTCCAAGCCGTGGGAATCACGGTTCATTACCTAGAAGGAGCCCGCAATGGGACTTTAGTCTTCGACGCGTTCTAATTGCGTAGCGTGGAGATATCAATTTCGCAGTCGCTTTTCCATTAAAAATAGGGCGCACACCCATATTCAGTATTGTGACGCGAATCATCGGGGTACAACCAGAATGATTCAGAATTTCACATGGAAACGTGCGCAGCTTCATTTCTTTTAAGTCCACTTAAGGAGCGATCTTGAAATAATCTTAAAATCATCTGAAAATATTCTTGCATCCTCTTAACTCCTTGATCTATGACTTTTTTGATAATTGTTCTCGCTAGAGTAACTATTCTTAATAATTTACCAAAAAAAGAAAGCTTTCCAATTCATTTGCATCCACCTTTACTTCGGAACATAACAATTAATAACAGAAAAATAGTATTTAATTTGAACTCACAAAATAATTGAGTGACATTTAATTTTCTTAACTTTTTTACGTGTCTGACATGATATTAAGGGGTTAAATATTCTCCAGCTGCCTTTATATTATAAGTGTTACAACTGAATGTTCACGTCCCTTGCGAAAAAATTAGTATAATAAGGATGTAAACTAAAGATGTTCGAACTTCATTTTAGTATTAAATTTAACTTTCACTTATAGTGTACAAAGTTTTCGTGACTGGGACGAAAGATAATTCAATCTAAAAAATGAATTTCATACCTGAGATTAAATGTTTACAATACTTGGGACGTATTCTTTAAACAAAGGAAAACGGTTTATTAATATGTGATATTAAAAATGATGTGTAAAACGATCACATTTCTTGAGAAGATGATTCACGCGATATTAACTGTAATGCATGCTTTTCTCTGCAAGGTATCTTTCCAAGGAAACGAAACTTAAAGTCCACGTAATATTTATAATCTACACGTTTAAGGTCCAGTCATTCAAAGATTTTTCAATGTACTGAATGAACACATAAAATTTTGGAAAATATCCACTGAATTATAAAAATATTAATATATTCATAAATATCAAATTGTTTAAAAAGGGAGTTGGCACATCTTTACAATTGAATAGTAAATAACATATATATCGTGTCAAGATAAAAATCATAATAAATAATCGAGTATCATGTTCTTCATCAGAAGGAAGTGAACATTCTTTCTTTTTAGGTTTTATTCTGCAAAATTGGGCGTTAGCGAATAAAGAAAAGCATTTTCAAAATAACATACATTTTTCACTTACCCAGAAATGGATTCAAAATTTAGCAAAAAAAGAGTAGCAAATTATTACTTAACACGGTTAATATTTAAAATAGAAACACCAAGTGGATGTTTAGCCTTCGTTATAATTTTCACTTTCTGTACTCAATGTGTACTGATAATATATCATTGAGTTTAATTGTAAATCTTACAAAAGTGGAACTACTAATCTTCAGTTCTACAGACTGTTGCACTTCATCATTTCTTTTCTTTCGTAAAATCATACGTTTTTGTTGCGGCTACTTCGATTATTACCGTCAGTTTACTTCGTAACATGTGACGGTAAGGGTTGAAGGATCATTTTATTACGGAGTTGAACATTTACCGTGGGTATATACATGCGTGCTACATTAAAATTATAGTACCCGCCGTGGCAAACTCAAAACGAAAAGGTAGATAAGAAAAGCATCGGGGAAAATGCGATGCGCTTGTTTCACATTCGATGCTTTAAAATTCTCTTACCCTTTCGTAGAATCGATAACTATATTCTTACGATTCTATTAATGTTTGTTCGGATTCTAGGAAAATGAAAGTGCAAAATTAATTTCCTCCTGGTTGTTAACATTCCTTTTGGTTATTAAATATTAATAGAATATTCCTTTATTTTTCTCTGTTTTTCTATAGCTTTTTCCGTAATATTCTTACTTTTATAGACTGTAACAAACGGTTATACGGGAATAATGTTACACATCAAATAAAACTGTATATTATAAGTAAAATAAACGTTAGATTGACACGCATTATTTTGCTTGACACGTTGACTGTCATGGCGGACAATGGTAACAGACGCACTGAACTGCTTGAAAATAATTATAATATGTAAGGTAATTGATGTCGAATAAAAATATTTATTACGGTAAGTAAATTGACAATGGTGTAATGTAAGGATTGTGTTCTCAAAGAATTAATAATTATTCTTATTTGCCTTTGCTATGAAAGAATAAGCGTCATGTGAAACGTTCAAGATTTTCGTGACAGTTAACGTGTTAAAGCTTTTTGTTGCATTCAAATGAATTATGATAACAATTCTATGGGAATTGTCAAATTTATAACGATTTTATGAGAGTTGTTAAATTTATGAAGATATTATGAGAATTGTTAAATTTAGCAATGCCTTTATACATTATTGAAAGAGAAACAGTATTTTCACGAAGGACTACCTGCTGAAGATGCGAGAAGATTCACGTATCGGACAGGTATAAGGAACGCTGAAGAATGAAGGAAGGAACCACAGAACGGTATAAGGTTTTAACGAGTCAGATTAACTCTGACCTCCTGGATTGAGCAATCAGCCTGGAAAAGTGGGACGAGCGTGTGGATAAGACAAGCCGACCGGTGGTTCCGGGTCGAAATGATCGAAAGTCGAGAAAGAAAGACAGTACAGGTGATTCACACCCCGTCGAACGAGTCGTTTTTTACAAAAGTGATGAACGCTCTCGTGTGAGTATAACCTGGTCCCCCTTTCCGCTCGTTTATCGGAGAAATTTCTCACGGAATAGATTCTGGAGACATTGAAATCTTTCCAGTCCTTTTTTCAAATGCGACTAATATTCACACTATTTTTATCGTTCTCATTCTTATACGAAATACAGAATTCCCAATTAAACTAGGAACATAAGATTCTGTGATAAAGGACTTATGACAGATATCTACAATTACAATAATAATTTTTATTTACAATAAAATAAGTGAATCGAAACAAATGTAATTAATTAAAGTCGAGTAAAATATTAAATTTTATACTTTCAAAAATTAAAGATTAATAGTGTCCAAATAATATTTATAATTAATTAGTATGTTAATCAGTTATAATAGTATAACTAATATAATATATTAACTAGTAGTTAATATTTATAGTTATTTGTATAGAATTTTGTCCATTAGTCCTTTCAAAAGTTTGATGAAACAGTCATACATTACACACTAGAAATTTTGAAACACCCAGTACTCGTACATGTGCCAACGATTACTACAATTGGGAGGTATACGAGATTCTTGGAACTGGTGTCATCGCGAGGTTGTACGATATCCTTAGTAATCTCGAATGTGAATGCTGTTCGCGCGGCATCGGAAAGCCGAGCAATTAATTAATTAATCTCCTAATTACCAGTGTCAGTCGCCAGCTGTGCGCGCGGTTCAAAGAAGGTCGCCGTTGAAAGAGACCTTTATGATTACAGAAAAGTGCCATCTTGTAGTTTTTACTTACGCATTCTACAGCTTCCTTTTATCGGTCTTTTATACGCCCTCTTGAAACGAACAGCTCGTTAAACTTAATTTTCCTGGCGCTGTTTCTGGAGAACACGCTTGCGTTTCTTCGTGCTTTGTCTGGTTCTTCGCTCAACGGAACTACCGGGGCTAAATTTATATCATAGACAAAAATTCTGGGAATAAATATGTGAACGAGTTAAAATCATTTCCAACTATAACTCTGATTTAATTAATATTTTTGCTTCCTGCTTCTTTGAACGACGAAACTATGGAGGGTACATTTATATCGTAGACAACAATTTTGGAAATAAATGTATGCTCGATTCAAAATCATTTTCCAATATAACTCTGTTCCATATACGTACTATTCCAAGTTTATTTCACATTTTTATCTGATTTGGATACTGGTCATACATATTCAGTTAACCGGTGAACTATGTTATATACATGTCACCTTAAAACGCAAATGATACTAATTCTCTTAACGATAAATTATTTATTTTTTCAGACAAATATGTGATTATTCTTCGTTTTGATTTAATTTTTCATTAAAATAAATCATAGTATTAAGGAAGCAGTATATTATTCATTGGTAGACATGTATGTCAATCCGCAAAGATTTTTCAATCTATTAGACCAAAGAATGTGTTACTTCGTTTAAAAAATTGCGTCAAGATTACGTCGGGATTATCCAATTATCTGCTTGTTGTTACGTCGGTTTAAATAGCTTTGTGTAAATTAATTTTATAGTCTTTCAGGCATTCCTATCTCACAGTTTCTTTCTTACGATGTACATATTCGCATAACATGCAATGAACGCGAATGTGTAAATCACTCACACTATTAAAATAGACAGCTGCAGTGAGTTATAAAGCAAGCTAACTGAACGTATATTATGTGTTTATAATTGAATTTACCATGACGGAGTTTACTTTCAAGGAATCGTTATTCCTTAGTTGTAGATGATGTTTTCATTACACTGAACTTACAAGTATGGGCATCCTTTCTTCAAAGATCGTTGAACTGAAACCTAAATGGAAATTAAACAATAATTACATAATAAAATCAATAATAAATAATATTTATATTCACAAAACATTAACAGAATGATTGGTATGTAATTACTTCAAAACTCGAATTAGTTTCTAAATTTCAATGAAATACAATATAAAATAATTATCTCAAACATCACGATCACTCATGAAAGAAATCGAAAGTTTCTATCTAATTTTCTATCTAAAATCTTGAATTAAGAATCTATAAAAGCTTCTAACAAATACACGTGTATGTACATTGAATGTAACTTTCTTTGAAATTTTTGTGCGTATTCATTAATCGTCTAGACTGCAATTATCAAACAGAATAATGACTGGTAACCGGTGTACCAATTAACAAGTGAAATGATACAAGCTGCTGCAATTGTAAGCTCATGAAAAAGCAATGGATGTATGAAAGAATCACGGTCTCAACAATTTTTCTAAATTCACCATTTCCTCCTAGCGGTTTCGCGTTGTTCGCTCATTTTCTTTCGTTCCCTTCGCATTACGCAGCCACGGTTCGCGATCCGCTTCGCGAGCATGGAGGAGCTGCAGCTGCAACAGTGACGTGCAACTGCAGTTCGTTGATAGGGTCATCCACGGTGCAGGAAACAGGAAATCCTGAGAAGTGAAACCAACCAGAAACGTCAGGAACACACAGAGCCTCCACTGTCTAGGATTCATAGTGGTAAGGCACGATTGAGGAGGTCTGGTCGTTGCTTGCTTTCCCAGTGGGAAATGTAAATTGCGAAGCGGGGGGGCATCATTAAATGACATAGAATATGAAAACATTGTTGCACGTTTCGTTTGAAAAGAAGAAAAAATGCAATTAACGTAATGGCGACCCTTAATGTCTACATCATCTTGAAGTACATATATAACTGGTGATTGTTGACGTAGTTCTACGTCACCGTACAATCCACAGATAGTTATGGTTGACGTAGCTGTACGTAATTTTATATTTGCACCGAGTTATGCGCCTTTTATATGTATTAGCACTTTATCATTCGGATTTATGGTTATTGAAGCTATCTAAAAATAAATTGACACGGCCACGTGCATCTCATCAGAGATACACATTTATTATTAAATGTTTGTTATCGTTTTTTAACTTACTAGTAAGCTCTGCGTTCAAACCTTTGTGTGGCATGTAAAATTGTTATTATACTCTATATCTAGCATTGCTATACTTCCTGTTAATATTTTACCAATTTTTTAAGCTCTAGTTTCAACAAGAATGCGTTGAGCACTTTTCATCTATATTCAGACATTAATACACAGATTATATTAATACTTTTCAACCATATAAAACTTGGCTAAACAAAGAAATTAGAAAATGTTGACACTTTTTATACATTTCATGCGTTAATGTCTCACGAAGCAAACTGAAATTGCACCTACATCGATAAAAGAAAATTATATCAATAATACAATGAATTAAAGAAGCACTGAAATAAGCAAAGCTAAAGAAAACAGGATGGAAAGACTAAATAATTCTTCAATCAATTAGTATCATTAACGAATAATATCTAATATTAAAGGGAATCGCAGACGCAAGCCGTAGCATCATTTCCTCCCGATTTGTTGTTTCTTCATCGGATCTCATAACAAATTAATGTCGTGATAAATTAAAATTGTGCACATTCATGAAGGTACGGGGAGGGATTAAAAGCGAGCAACGCGTAATCGTGGCAAGGTAAACGCGGCCCTCCCCCGTGCAATTAAAAATTCAGCTTCACCTTCGTAGATTAGCCCGACTATATCGCTCGAGCAAACCACCCTTCCCGCCCCCCAGCAGCCCAGACGGGATCCTCCAATTTCTCTGAACTTCCGTAAATCCTCGTCTGCAGTTTCACCCTCTCCCTGTTCCCTCGGCCGCAACCCTACGGTCGTGTCGATCTTCCGGGTAGCTAACCGACAATTAAACTTTCATAACCTGTTCATTAGCACGAATTAACGCGGTGCGCTAACTCATCTGGATTCCGCTAATGCAACGCACTTAATTTACAGCGCATCGGGTCCTCTCGTACACCACGGCGCAGCACTAGGGGTGTATTTGCCCTCCTTCTCCCCGGAGGACATGTCGACAAAACAGGGACACGAGGACGAGGATAGTAGG